GCCACTGGAGATCCCCTTGCAGAGGGGTCTCGGGGAGGAAATGAGCCAGTCAGGGTGCGATGTAACAATGATGAGAAATACAACTTTCCTCTAGTTCCTAAAGGTCTCTTTTAATACAACAATAAATAATAAATGTGTACCGTATTTTTCTTCATGGAAAAATAAGACATCCCCTGATATTAAGACCTAGCGAAAATTAATATAAGACTGTCTTATTTTCGGGGAAACAGGGTATCTGGCAAGTAACTTAAAGCTGAAAAAGTACCTGGAAGCCTGGCTGGGTCCGTAGCAGATGGCAGGTCAGTGCGATGGAGGGCGGGGAGGTACCTGGGACGCTTCTTGGCGTCCGCGTTCCCACATGCACTGCTCATGCCCTGTGCTCCTGTCAAGCTGTAGGAATGAGTCCACAAATGACACAAAGAAACGAGCGTGACCCCCGAACTGCAAAACCCGTGAATATGCTGTTTCACACGAATAGCGTTAGGGACAAAGATGCTGATGTAGAATTTAAAGATGTCACAAAAGTATTCAAGATTCACAAAGAGGGTTGAAGTAGAAAATTTCATTCACTTCCTTGAGCTGCTAATTTTTTTTCCAAATTGTAGAGAGTTCTAAGAAGCTTTTATTTAAAAAAAATAAAAGTCAGAAAAGGGCCTATGGAATAATAGCTAATTTACAAATATAAGCATTTCTAATACACACTCACTGAAAGATAAATTTTGATATAAATTTATATCATATCATAAATATAAATATGAGCTAGCAGCAACTGAAAATATTATGAACTAACATTTTCAAAATTTTCTTACACTCTGTACTCTCCACTCTAAAAGGAGAATAGTTTCTGAGGCAAATATTCAACAGAATTTATTTAATGGTCAAAGTAGGCTTCATTTTATATTCTTGGATACTATAAGTAATATTTGTAGATTATGATTTCCTACCTTGATTTATTCAACAAAATGGTACACATATAATGTTTATATATTTTATATATATACACACACAAACATCAATGCTTATAAAATAGCATGTGTTATTAATGGGTTTTTAGATATACAATAAAAAGAAAGTTATTTAGTAGACTGCATTAATTACATTTTAAGGACAAAAGGTCTGAGCAGGACTTTTATTGTGAACTTTTATTATATATTTATATTTTTACACTCTTGTCTTAATTTGTTAGAGGATTAGCAGCCTAAAATCAAAGCCAAGTGAATATATTTTCGCAGTTAGTATTTGGGCTACAAATGTAAAGAAAACCAAGATCTATAGTAATAAATTCATTCCCTTTCATATTAGTCCATTTTGTTGAATCAACCTCTAAAAGTATACAAGTTATTTTAGTTGAAATAAAATATTATTTTTCATTTCAGGAACTTGCATGTAAAAACTCTATGTCTCAATCTGTAATAAAATTTTTGCAGCTAGTTATTTTACTGTGATACTGGGTCAGAAAGTAAATGGAATGTTTGTTCAGCTAAACACTGTTACACCCAGATTAATTAGGGCAATTAAATTTTTCTAAGATAAATATGCATTATGATTATAGATATCATGTGCTCCTACCTCTTCTCCCTTCAGTTACAGCTTTCAATAAATCAACAAGGACCCTACTAAAGGCCGGTCTCTGGAAAAGTCTAAGGAAGCCATGAGTACGTAGAAATTAAATGAATGCAACATGTCTACATGAAAATGCTATAAGCAACCAACAAAATATTTTACTTAAATGCTAAGAGCATATAGAATAATTGCCATGGCATTACTATTTTAAAAGCGTAAGCAAATATTAACACTAAGTAAAACAAGACTGTCTACAGTAGCTGGCCTAGCTTTAGTGAGGCTCAAACTTAAGAAACTTTGATGACCTTTTTACAGAGGAAAGGCCCCAAGTAGTTTTTCAAAATCAAATCATGATGGGCCTTGGAATTTGTTTCATTAGCATCCCTTGAATTCAACCACCCAGAGACTTTCACCTTCCATTGACCAAAATGCAATCGCTGTTTTATTTAATATGATACAAGCATAATTCTATCTTCTATAAAATGGACAGACACCGTGACTGCAACAATGGGCTCACACCTTTGGACAACGGTAAGAACGGCAGAGGACTGAGTGCTCCTTGGCTCTGTTGTACGGAAGGTCGCTCTGAGTCAGAACTGGCTCGATGACACCTAACAACAACAACAACAACAACAACAACAACTGTGTGACATTGCTTTCTTTACTGATTTCTGAAGTCCACTCTCCCAGTGGCTGTTATTCTCGTATCGTAGAAGCCCATCCATTTAAAAACGGTCATTGCTTTTTGAGAGATTATTTTCTAAAATTATTCCAGTGATAACTGTCCTGCAAAATGAAATTTTCATCCTTCATTTTGATTAATTATTTTCCACTGAAATCCTTTTAAATTACAAAAGCTTTTAAATCTACATATTATGTAATACAACTTTGCCAAAATGATATTAGCAGAGATTAAATAGTTATTCTCCTTAGTTTCAGGTTCATAAAACTACCCAGATGAAACTGTAGAACTACTGACTTAGAAAAAAGGGGGTCACATGGCGATACTCAGTCTCCCAGATTCTAAAAGTCATTTGAGTCCCCACATAACACCAACACAACATTCGGACTGAAATGTTAACGCACACCATTCTGTGAGATCTGATGTGTATGATTGGCAAGATGATGACAACTACTTGTTGTATTACTTTCCTACATAGATTACCTGTTATGAACTCTTTGGTATTTACCCCCTCTCCGACTTAAAAAAACTCAGACTGTATAAAGGATGGCAAATTTAAAAAATCATTATAATGAGATGGATTATTGTAAATTTACACATAAATCTCATAAAGAACTCATTCACCCACTGCGCACACACAACTTATCCTTTATGATTTCCCTGATTTGATCTTTGTACAATTGTTCTTCCAGGAACATAGTAGTAATTCATTACAATAATTAGGAATTATTACTAATTCAATAGCCAAGTTGTATTCATTCTTTCTAAATAACATAGTTCTTATTTGTCCCTACCTATTTACTCCCACGCAGAATGCACCCGCCAGTTTATCCTCCTGTGGTCACGTGCATGTTGCTCTGATACTGAAAGTTACGTCACAGATATTTCAAATAGCGGACAGCTTTCAGCAGAGCATCCAGACTTTGACAGCATGGGAAGAAGGACATGGCAGTCGACTTTGCAGCATGAATCAATGGAAACTGTATGGAGCACCAGAGAATCACAGCTGATACAAAGCTCATATATGAGCCCACAGGTGGGAAGGAAGTTGAGTGTGCTCCATACACTGCGGTGGCTGCACCAATAGGCTTGAGTATGCCAACTGTCATGAAGTGGCCCTGGGACAGGCAGTGTTTTGTTTAGTTGTACATGGGGTGGGATAGGACAGCTAAGGGTAACAAACGTATTCCCATAGTCTTTGTAATTCAAGATGAGATCTGTTTCTGTGTGGGATATTGCAACTGCGTTCTAATTTTTCACTTCCTCCATCCTCTCCCCCATCCATTTTATCACTTCATCCTGTGCATTGTCCATAGAGGGCTCCTCCTCCTAACATACTCATTTTTCAAATAAAAGAATGTCATTTATTTAAAAAAATCATTTTATTGTGGGCTCATACCACTCTCCTCACAATCCATACATACAGCGTAAGTACATAAGTTGGGTTACCTGTGCCACAATATTAAATTACAAACATTTCTCAAGAAAACCATTTTAAATCAGATAAGCTGATTTTCTTGTACTTTTTTGAATCTTTGTTTCTCACAGAGGAAAATGAGGTTGACATGTAATTACAGAAATTTTTGAAATGTTACAGGCTATCCTATCTTTTAAATACGTCTCCCCAAATCATAGCAATGCAACCCACTGGAGTTGTAAATGTAGGCAGGCATTCATATTTCTGATACCTAATCAAATATCGTGCATATAATATTTATTCTATAAATTCTTACTTAAGAAATATATTAATGAGAGAAGTCAGTTCATGTGTAATGGCTCTACCATAAATCTTTAAAATGTTCACATTTTTATGTTTAAATCCTAATCTGTGGATTTACTAGTATGTTCTGTTTATGAAATTGTATCAAGCTTTAAACTCTATGCACTTCTATCTGCATTTACTTTATTAAAAGGTTAAAATTAGGTTGTATTTGAAGGGACTATCACTATTTCTGGAAATTCAAGGTAGCCCATAATTTTTTTTCTCTACTAAATGCTTTCATTGCATTGCACGATAGCAAATACCAGCATTCTTAGTGAAAGAATTGACAATCATTTGTATTTATAGAAAAACATTTGAAAACAAATATACTGGAGTTTCTACTTTTAGACACATATAAGCAGTGTAAATGTTTATGAAATGATTTCAGTATTATTGACTTTTGGGGAGGTTTGAAAGACTTATTGGTCCTTTTTAACTTTAATAAAAGATGCTTAGGTGGAGGAGTTATGATAGAAAACTACTTACACACTCTACACATTTTCTCTACTACAAAGAACCAAGACACCAAGTGAAACAGATGCAGATGATAATTTTTAGCCTGGAACTTCAATTGAAAGGATAAAGTGTTTACATATTGGGAAAAGAAACTGAATGAAAGCAGAGCATGGGGAGATCAACATAGAGGAGTCATCTTTCCAGATGACCTGGGACTGCACAACCATGTTGAATCACAGGAAGGAAATTAATGGAATCCCTAATGAGTCAGAGACACAATATGAGATTTGCTATTTGCAGCCATACTGAACGCTGCAATGTTCTCTCTCTGCCTCTCTTTAGTACATCACTTTATTGGGGCCTCTTATAGCTCATAACAACCTATACATCGATTGTATCAAGCACATTTGTACATGTGTTGCCTTCATCATTGATCTTGGTCTTCATCAGCAAGTGTGTTAAATCCTTCTCACTTTCAGCAAGCAAGGTTGTGTTATCTGCATGTCTCAGTTTGTGAATAAGTCTCTTCCGGTCATATGCTGCATTTTTCTTCTGTGAAGAATAATCTGGATTCTCAGAGTATTTGTTTAGCCTACAGATTGATAAGTATACGTAGTGAGAAGATGCAACCCTAATGCACATCTTTCTTGATGTTAAATCATGCAGGAAGCTCTTGTTCTGCTCCCACAACTGTCAAGTTCACATAAGTACAGGTTCTGTGTGTTCCAGTAGATAACATCATGGAAAATGGAGAAAAGATTGAAGTTGTCAAGGATCTCCTGCTTGGATCCACAAACAATGCTCATGAAAGCAGCAGTCAAGAGATGAAATGATGTGTTGCATTGGGTAAATCTGCTGCACATCACCTCTTTAAAAGAATGAAAAGCAAGGATGTTAACTTTGAGGATGAAGCACCTGACCCAAGCCATGGTATTTTCTCTAGCCTCATAGGCATCTGAAAGTTGGACATTGAAGACCAAGTTGGACATGAGGAAGACCAAAGAATTGATGCATCTGAATTATGGTGCTGGCAAAGAACATTGATAGTCCCATGGACCGATAAAACAACAAACACATCTGTCTTAGAAGTGCTGCCAGCATGGCTAGAAGGCAAGGATGACGAGACTTCATCTCAGGTGCTTTGGACATGTTGTCAGAAGAGATCGGTCCCTGGAGAAGAACGTCAGACTTGGTAAAGCTGTGGAGCAGCGAAAAAGAGGAAGGCAGGATGCACTGGCAGTGTCTGTCGGAGTGGCCTCAAACATCCTAACAGCTGTGCGGAGGGCACAGGACTGGGATGTGTCTTGGTCTGCTGTACACAGGGTTTCTGGAAGTTAGAATGGACTCAATGATACCTAACAATGACCAATTTTGCAGTCAATCAAGCGGAAGCAAATTAGGGTGGGAAGCAACACACCTACTCATATAACATCTCAGATCCAATTAATTGAAAGGACATTTCCTTGGCATATGCCCTACTTCTAGTTTAAATGGTTGCTCCTGAAGAGCTTTGCTTGATTTTTGCTTAGTCTGAGTCCGGAATAGTGGCTCATTCTTCAGCTTCTTTCTTTCTTGACATCATCCTTCTCTATTGTCTCTCTATGCTGAGTGTCACCAACAGCCTTCTACCTGATATGTCTACCTTGTATTCCTTTACTTCTCTAGTCACAAGCCCGTCGTCTTCCTGTCAATCTTGGTTTCATCAACCTCCACTGCTCCAGGGGCCAAAACACTTGATGTGCTCAGGCTGCACCTACAGACAGACCAAGAAGCAGCCCTACTGCATGGTTTAACATCAGAGTGGTGGCTGTACAGGTTGTTCCTTCACACACTCAGTCTGAATGCTGAACAAATAACACCCAAAGCTGGGCTACTTGAAGAGCTGTCCAGCACAATGGAGGAAGATGCATCAATAACCTGCAACATGCCCAGGAGCTGACCTTGGCTGCTGAAATCAAGAGGACTGGAAATACTTACTGATGATGAACTGATGATGTAGTTCTTACTACATACTGCCTTCAGCATGCATTACATAACAATGGAAAAGTGGGGGGGGGGATCCTAATAACTGGACCAGAAGGCAACATCATTATAAATGGACAAAATATTCAATTATCAAGGATTTCCCTCTATCTGGATCCATAATTTACACTCATGGAAGCAGTTATGGAGAAAAAATGCATGCATTTTAATTCTCATGCTGACAAAGAATATTAAAAGTATCTTGGATTACCAGAAAGACAAAAAAAATTAGTCCAGGAGGAGGGGCAGCCAGAATGCCCCTTATAAATGAAGATGGAAAAACTTTGTCTCATGTACTTGGGACATGTTTTCAGGAGACAAGAGTCTGGAGAGAAAGGCATTAAGCTATTAAAGTAGAGGGCCCGTGGAAAAGAGCAAGATCCTCAACAAGATGAATGCAAAGTGGCTACAACAATAGGCTCAAGTATAACCACAACTAGTCAACTCCACTGCCATTGAATTGGCACGATAGTACATGTAGAACATCAGAAGACTAAATGTGTACACCCAGATTTGGATGATATTCTACAAAGCCTTCTATCCTTCATCAAAAATTTTAGTCTGTAGTTAACAAGCAATAAGAAAAAGATTTAAGCACTTGATAGTCACTAAAGTGTTCTTGAATAGTGTACTAAATGCACTAGATACATCTTAATGCATTAAAATGATGC